TTCCATACTATGCTGTTAACCTATACAAAACCATGCAGTTAATTGTGGCAATTGCAAGCATATTGCTAGGCAGTACAGAATCAGAGCAAATCCCAATTTCTCCAATGTAGTCGCTACAGATAATGTAACCTTGAACAGAGATGAGGTATACTAATTCTGAAAATATCGCATCTAAGCTAGTGATGCTTGTCATGTTAGAAATACCAGTTTTACTTTTAATTTAGCTGGAAGAACCATAGTTATTTATAAGACAAACAAATAATACTTGCTCAACATGCGAGGGGGGATACAAGTACTCTGCGCACAATTAAGGCTGAGATAGATACACACACAGAGCTGATCCTTGTCACCCCGTTGTCAACTGTTACAACAATACTCTAAGCTACACGATACCTAGCATTTTTCCTATAAAGTCACAAAACTCCGTGGTTTCATTTTGTGATAAGCTATAACTGTGCCTTTAGTAGAGAAAAAGAAGGTATTGCAAGAAAAAACAAATCCACTAATACTTTTAAAATTCAGCAGATCAAATAAAAACACTCTTAACTGATTATTATAACCTTCATATATAAATATTTCACAGGTGCTTGGTCATAATACCCTGTCTGGAAAAGCCTACAGTACACCGCACAGATTCTTCAGGTTTCTTGTCCACCTTTCCTCTCCTTGCCCATTCTAGCAAACACAACACCGCATTTCTGTACACACCATATACACAGGGGCCTAGAAACATTCAGGACAAGCTGAACACTAAAGGCCCCTAAAACTTCTTAATGACTTCCATGAAAATGCACAGAGTTTCTGAACAGAATAGAAAACTTGCCTGTCTGACCCCAGAAGTACCACCAAGCAATTCTTGCACTGGAGAACAACTTCTGCCCAGAAAACAGTTGGAATATGTTTATAACAGCTATTTACCTTTCATTAACACATGTTCTCCAGAATTATACAGAAGACAAACATCAAAGCTTTTACAATTGAAGTATCTTCAGAAACCTAACTATAGATGCAAAAATGAAAGGTTTGCCTATCATAGCCCTATGATTCCTACATTTATCATGATACATTAATTACTACACCCTTGGTTTATGTAAGTAGTATATACACAATATTATACATGTGTCAAAAAAAAAAAAGAAAAAAAAGAGTTGAAGTATAAAGATAAGGAAGGATGGGTGCTTTGGAAATGATGTAAGCTTTGTATTAAGAATATAAACATATTTAGCTTGTAAACTTTCAAGGCTTTCCAGCCACAAATGAAGCACCCAAAGATATAAACGGGGTAACTAGGACTCAAGAGTCTCCCAAAGACCACTAGTGCAATACGATTAGCCAAGTGACAATAATCTTGTACTGAAAACTGAACATGTATTTCTGAGTTCAGAATTCCTGCTTCTAAATTTCTAAATTAGTTTCCACGTTTCACCTGTTATTTACACACATCATGTGCAAAGGTGGCACAAATAACCTTAAAATTTGTGAAAGAACTCAACTCAGATATTGTCTGACTATTAAGCATTTCGTTTATTTAGAAATGCGCACCAGCAGTCTTAACTATATGCTTATATCACGTTTTATGTTGTCATATATGCGAAATATTATGTTCAATTCTGAGCCTTACATTACCAAAAGGTTATTGACAAACTGGAGAGAGTTCAGAGAAAATCAACATAATTTCTGAGAAGGCAGGAAGGACTTATTTATGAGGAAAGATTAAAAGAACTAAATATTTATAGTTTGGCTCAGTAATGAACGAGGAGGTAGGGGACATGAGAACAGCCTAGAGATATCTGCAGGGTGTAAACACTAAGGAGGGAGACTGAACGTGTTATACAAGCATGTAAACAGAAATAATGGGATAAAACTAGACAAGAAAAACTTAGGCTGAATATCAGAAAGCATTCCTGGACAGCAAGCTATCTTGGCCCATGGCACAGTTTCGTAAGTGAAGCAATAGAAGCCCACTGCTTGGAACAACAAACAAGACTAGACAAAACACTGGAAAATTTGCCATATGGAATAACCTTGCTGCACTGAGGAGAAATATTACCTCATAAAAGCTAGTCTTTTCTAAGTTTAACTCTGGCGAAAGCAGTAATATTTTACAAGGTGTTGAAAATTTAATATAAAAATAAGATATTGAGAGCTTAATCAGAAAAAAAAAGACTCCAACTAAGAACATTCCTTAACCACAAGCAACTTAAATTCAGTTTATGTAATACTTTGACTGAATTATACTTCTGCAACAATTTTGAAATATATATGCAGGTTGCAAAGAGTTAACGGCGCTGGACTGTATTCTCCCCAGCAGAGGTCACTCCAAGTTAACAAATAACAAGGAAATGGGTTCAAACTTCAGGAAAAATCAATAGAAAGGAGACATCCTCCTTCCCTCATTTGCAGCACCGCTTTTGGATGCAAAGCTCCCAGACAACAGTGTGTCCTGCAATCGGTTGCAGGTAGATACCAGAAGCTTCGGATCTACATCGCACGTAATGCTCAATTTGGAAAACACTCAAAATTTATTTTCTAAAAGGCGCTCATGAAGTGGATAAACATTTCCTAGTTGCAGATGGATTTTGAAGTGTCCAGAATCGATGTGCACATGCACAAGTAAAGCCTAGGCTGGGCCATGTTTGGAATTGAAACCACAACACTTTTCACTGAAAATTTTAGATTACATTAGTAAAGTATTTACTATGTGAGGACTGTGACACAGGCAGACTGACAGGCTTTCAAAAACACCGAGGAAGGAAAATAAAAAAGATAAACTTTTTTGTTCCTGTTTGTATATATTTTTTTCAAAAACAATGTTTTCTAACTTAAAACAGAGCTTAAAACACAACCAAATCCAACAGAAGAGCACTATCAAAAGAATACATATTTTTGCATATTGTGCATATGTCCACACATATTTTTTCTTCTTGATTCACACAAAAGTCCACAAATTTGAGAACTATCCCTTAAAAATTCTGGAAACCGTCAAGTAAAAACCTTGCTGTTCCAGGTGCCATCACCCCTAATAAAACTTCTGTCATCTCCATAGTTAATTCTGATGCAAGCATTAACCATGCACTGTGCCACTGCCAGAGGAAGCTGTCCCAGTGCCAAAGGAAATAAAAGTAACCAGCACATACAGCAAATATGTATTTGCTAACTACAAGGGAGCAAATATGCGCAAGCAGAGATGAAGAGTCATATTTTGACTAGACTGTTTTAAAAGGTTGCTCATTTTACGGCCAACACTTAAACCGCGTAAACGCATTCTATCAAAATGTAAGAATTGGTAGAGCATACTTTTAATATTTCATCCAATGAAAACAGAAATGAACTCGTGTTTAAGTATTCCCTGGAACATACTGAACCCTGGCTACATGATGCATGGATAATTCTCCAGGGCTACGCCTGTACTGGAGGCCAAGGGAGACTTTCCAGCCCCCGGCTCAGGTTATGCTCACCAGCTGTCCCAGCTCCACCGCACAACCTGACCCAGGTTCATGAAGTCCCTCAGCCCCTGTCACAAGCTCCTCATCTGCAGGCAAATGAAATACAGGCACAAAATACATAAGGGAGCCACAGCAAACACCGCACAGGCCGACAGTCTCAACATCCTGGGAACAAGGACAAGCTGTCTGGTGAACAGAGTTAAATCCAGCTGGTGTCTGGTCACAAGCGGTGTTCCCCAGGGCTCAGTACTGGGGACGGTCTTGTTTAATATCTTAATTGATCATCTGGATGAGGGGATCGAGTACTCCATCAGCAAGTTTGCAGAAGACACCAAATTGGGTGGGAGTGTTGATCTGCTGGAGGGCAGGAGGGCTCTGCAGAGGGATCTGGACAGGCTGGATCGAAGGGCCGAGGTCAACTGTATGAGGTTTAATAAGGCCAAGTGCAGGGTCCTGCACTTCGGCCACAACAACCCCACACAACGCTACAGGCTTGGGGAGGAGTGGCTGGAGAGCTGCCTGGCGGAAAGGGACCTGGGGGTGCTGGTTGACAGACGGCTGAACATGAGCCGGCAGTGTGCCCAGGTGGCCAAGAAGGCCAACAGCGTCCTGGCCTGTATCAGGAGTAGTGTGGCCAGCAGGAGTAGGGAAGTGATCGTGCCCCTGTACTCGGCACTGGTGAGGCCGCACCTTGAATCCTGTGTGGGCCCCTCGCTAGAAGAAGAACATTGAGTTGCTGGAGCATGTACAGAGAAGGGCAATGAAGCTGGTGAGGGGTCTGGAGCGCAAGTCTTGTGAGGAGCGGCTGAGGGAACTGGGGTTGTTCAGTCTGGAGAAAAGGAGGCTGAGGAGAGCCCTTATTCTCTACAACTACCTGAAAGGGGGTTGTGGTGAGGTGGGTGTTGGTCTCTTCTCCCAAGTAACTACCAAGAGAGGGAGAGGAAATGGCCTCAAGTTGCACCAGGGGAGGTTTAGACAAGATATTAGGAAAAATTTCTTTACTGAGAAAGTGGTCAAACATTGGAACAGGCCAATGGAGGGAGGTGGTGGAGTCACCATCACTGGAACTATTCAAAAAAATGTGCGGACGTGGCACTTCAGGATATGGTTTAGTGCGTATGGTGGTGTTGGGTTGACAGCTGGACTTGATCTTAAAGGTCTTTTCCAACCTTAACAATTCTGTCTAGCCTGAGTGACTTGGGATTTTTGTACGGAAGGGGTAGGCTCTGTAGTACAAAAACTTTTAGGGATATGTCAGTTAACTCACTAAACCACTGGTTTACCAAGAGACAACTAGCTATCTAATATGCTAGAAATGGCACAGGAGATTCCCCAGTGTTATTAATGTTAACGTTCAATTTTAAAATCTATTAATACTCAAAGAGTTTTTCTAATCTGCCCAGGAACAGACTGGTGTTGCTCATATTTCATGCTTGGCTATATTTTCTTTGACATAAAAATTAACTAAATCTCATTGTTTTAAAAGCTATTAGTACACAAAATAAAGAGACTAACAATAAAGTAAGATCCTAAATAAGATACGCAAAGTCTTACCTGCTTCCTTGCACAAGGCTGCTAAGTCTGCACCCACATAACCATGTGCACTATCAGCCAGTTGTGCCAACTCTGCTGTTGTGAGGGAATGGGGAACTTTCTTGAGAAGCTTTTGGAGTATGTCCAGACGGTCTTGGGCATTAGGAATTCCAATTTCTATCTCTTTATCAAAACGTCCAGGCCTGCGCAGTGCTGCATCCAGTGCATGAGGACGATTAGTGGCCCCAAGTACCAAGAGCTGCCCTTCACTGCCTTCCTGAAGGCATCAAACACCACAAAAGACTAATTTTAAAATACAATTAAATGTCACACAGCTTATAAACATACTTCTTGCTTACTGTTCCCACTATTACACACACTAAAATCCTGATACGAGCTCTAAAGCAACAAATAGTTGTTGTTGCCTTTAATAATGCAGCCTACATATCACCAGAAGTATTTCTATTACTTTGATTTCAGAGCAATTAAAAATACCTGGCTTAGGTCAATGATGGGCTATCACTAAAATTTCAGTTTTATCTGCAAAGCTACAAGAGTGGGAGAAGGCAAAGGAAAGACAGTAAATGTAAGAAAGCTTACTTTCTTTTAATCGCAGTTATCAGGAGATATTCCCCTCCTGTGTCTTCTGCTTAGCTTCCAATAAAGTATTAGATTACTATATGAAGTCTCACCTAAGCCTATTTTCTTTTCTCCCAAATAGGGCATCTAAAATTGGCTGCATTATAGAAGCAAAATTACTTTGTTCAGCTAGTCCTCATACACATTGATTGCTTCAATACAGCCTACTTACTGAGCCAATGCCATCCATTAGTGTCAGCAATGAAGCAACAATTCTCTTTTCAACTTCATTCTGAGCCCCTTCTCTCTTTGGACAGAGTGCATCCAACTCATCTATAAATATAATGGAGGGGCTACTGGAAAAAAAAGAAGGAAAAAATGTTAAAGTTCTCAGAGAGATTTAAAATACCAAGACAGAGAACTGCAAAGCTGTTTATGGAGAACATCCAGTTCCTGCAAAAATTAACAAGCATCTCACTCTTTTAAGCAACTGAAATTCAGCTTTGAATATGGTGTTACTCAAAGAGATAACTAAACTGACTAATATATTAGACAACTAATACCTTTAAGATGACCTATCAATCTACCTTTCTGTGACTTTCTCCTAAAGCCTCAACACTAAATATACCAATTCATGAGTAAAACGACAGCGTTTTATTTGCCACTTGAACAAATAGAGTATGTGCTAGCCTTTTGCTAATGTATTATGAACACCAATCATCTGGAAGTCTAAAGTCTGTCTTAACCAGGTCTAATAAATTTGGGCAGAGTACCACCCTAGTCCCGAGGCATGCTCATTGGAGCTCATTTAGAGCTGGCGTCCATGTCTCAGCACAGTATTACACTGGACTCTAAAGATAAAACTAGACAGAAAAATTTGGATCCAGGTGAAACTCTGGCTCATACTTCCATCTGTTGAAACAAGCATACAATACACTAATGATACCAATTGAGCGACTTGGCACCATCTGTAACAGTCCCTTAAAAAAGGTAGTGTCCAAAAGCATTTAATAGGCATACTAGAATTTCACTGCTTTCCTTCTAGCTAAGCTCTATATAAACAAATTTATTTCCTTTTAAAAACCACTGCAGGAAAGAATTACAATTCAAAGATTCTTGCAAATGTTTTTCTTTTAAGAACATTAACGCTGGAACCGATACCGCAAATAAGAGAGCGCGAATAAAATTATCCGAAAGGACATACCGCAGAGAAGCTTCAGCAAATATCTGACGCAATCTTGATTCAGACTCCCCATAAAACCTATAATAATTAAAATATTTTAATAAAAAACATTTTTTTGGTCTTTTCCAGGCAACTTGGAGAATTACAGCTCATGTGTTCCAAAAAGCCACAGCGCACCCTTTCAAAGTCCCAAAGTATATGCAAATACACAATAACCTTTATTTCCATATGGTACAAGAAATTGAGGCAAAATGGGCCAGAGGCAAAGACATAATCATCTTGTGAATAGAAAAAAGAATAAAGGGAAAAGCTTCTCTCTTCTGTGTTAGAAAATTTCATCTATATTTTTAAAGAACAAAAAAAAAATTAGTTCCTTGGAGACATTAATCTGTGCAGTATCATCTTTTAATTTCAAATATGCTTTAACAAGTCACTCTTCTTGTTGCACAACTAACAAGCAATTGCAGATGCAGTTTTAGTCCCCGCTTAATTTAGTCCGTGCCTTACACAAATTTCTTGGCCAAATCCAATAAACCTCTTTTACTACAAGAAGAAACATAAGCCCTACTTACGAGAACCCTTTCCCATTTGTTTGACTCTCTTGGGCAGATAGCCCATAGCCAATTCTATATCTGCATCTATCCACAATGGACAGATGCCAGGACAGATTTTGGGCTAATATACTTATAGAATTAATGAAAATACATCGGGTAGACTTACTTGCTTATTATTTCAGGACCATTAATAACGGTAACATGAGCACCAACCTCATTTGCAATGGCTTTGGCAATCATAGTCTTCCCAGTACCAGGAGGGCCATATAATAGCACTCCTCGAGGAGGAGGGATTCCTTTAAACAAGCACACAACACAGAGAAGAAAGTTATTTGTGATAAATGCCAGTCTGAACAACCTGCACTTGCACATTTCTCTGTCCCAGTTATTACTGATTAAAACTTGACACCAGCATTAGCTTCTTTTAACAGAAGAATATGGTCCTGATAAAACTGTAGGGTTTCAGTAGGTAGAGCACTCTTATGAGACATACATCTACATTTTTTACTTTTAAAGTCCAAATAATTCTGTTTAAAAAGCAGCTATTTAAATCATTATATTTTTCAGTAGTTCAACATTGTAATTCTCCCTATGCTTTGTGGTGTTTGTTGGTTTGGGGTTTTTTCCAAAAAAAACTTATTGGACTAAGTACCTAACATCCATTAGTGTACTTTATTAAGTTATTCATGATTACTTATTCATGATTACAGTGTCATTATTACAAATTTCCAACATCAGAAAACCACTTCACTTCAACACTCCAAATAAATTCAGACTTACTGTGAGCCTTGATTCAAGTATATTTACAAAAAGATGAAAAATACACATCAAAAAGATGAATTTGCCTCTTTAATGGCAAACGTTAAGAGCTGAAACCAACAGAAACATTCAGGCATAGAACACGAGGGACGCTAGAAGAACAAGGTACTACTGCATACAGTTAAAGCTGCACAGAAACTACAGGTAACTGCATGAAGTAATATTATGATCCCAGGTAAAGAGCAAAAAAAACCAAATTTCAGACCAGCAAAGCCAAATTAAACGGCCACAAAGCCAAAAACAGAAGGTGAAAAATTAGAAAGCAAAAAGAAGAGAGAAATGTTTGACAAAGGACTGACCCCGGCACCAAAGACGTTGCTGAAACATGACCAAAGAACAAAACACCGGTTGGGTACTGTGCTACCAGACAGGGCATGACGCTCAAAGGGCAGGTCACATCCCAATGGTGGAGAGAATAATACAGATGGCATGGACAGAAAGCCCGAATCTTAGGAACAAATATATTCAAAAAGAAAATAATTATCTGCAAACTGACAGAGAATAGAAATAAAGTGCCTTTACAGACAGGTTACTTTACAACAGCCCATTAAAGCACGTGCTGCTCCCTCATGTGGTGTTTCTGGTACTGGCAAGAAACAGAGCTGTTGAACCAAAGGTCTCGCCTCAACTGACAGCCTCGCCCCCCACAAGCGGACAAGGACTCTCAACGTTTGGATGGTTACTAAAGCTTTGTAGCTGGTGAGGAAACAGAGTCATCTCTCATGCAATTAGTAAAGAATCTGGTCAAGCACTTTTGGGACTAAGTATGAAGGACACTGATGCTGAAGCAACCTTCCCGCTAACACAAAACCATGCAGTGATACTGAGGCTGGAGGTCAGCGAACTGAGCTGGACCACATGTGGATGAAGACACCTCACACCAGCCCACTGACACCTGCCGATCACGCCCAAGCAAAACACACCGGAAAAGCCACCAGTGTCTTATGGAAATTGTCCCAGTCATCACTGAAACCCCTTCCTCCCTAAAACGTCTGCATGGGAAAATGTAAGGCAAAGAAATAAAAAGCCTTAAAGACATGATATTAAAGAAATAGGTATAGCTAAGAGCCCTGTCTCACAGTGATGCACACCTAGACAAGTACAATGAGCAGACATGCCTGCTTTATGCACATATCCATTTGTGACAAATACACAGTACAGCCATCACAAAAATCCTCTAAGTTCATATATACGTTAGATACAACTTTATACATGGCAATAGTAATAGTGTTATTTTTTCCCACCCTGCAATTCCATACTACACATGCTGAGCAGTTTGAGTAAACAGCCTCAAACACTTCCTTAAGATTTTGCAGGAACCCTCCAAAACACAGGAATAAAAACAGCAGAAGAATTAGTCTGGCTTTTCTCTCAACTGTTTTTCTCAACTTAAAAAATATAAATAGTTCACTCTACCAAAACAAATTAAAATCTTATGACAAGACAAACATCTGCACCTTTCAAATGCCCAAGTATAGAAGTCTTTCCTATTTGCTATAAATTCTGCTCATGATACCTGAATTTTCTTAGAGACACATCTCTCTTTCCTACTCAATTATTTTTCACACAAGCTAATCATAATATTTTCATAGTATTCACACAGTACAATTATAAAACAGTTTGACATTCTTCGGACACACAAGTGTACCAGATCAGTATTACATAAAATTCAGTGCATACTCCTGGAATAACTTGGTTTAAAAGAAAAAAGGTAATGTTAGAGTTAATAAAAACTAGCATCAGATGAAGAAAGCCAACTCTTAGGCATCATACCGTAACTCTTGAACAGTTCAGCTTGCTTCAAGGGCACTTCAACTGTTTCTCTAATAGTTTTGAGCTGGCTGCTTAAACCTCCTATCATATCATAGGTGACTCGGGATTCACAACCACCGTCTTCTGCTACACTGGTCCTCGTTTCAGTAAAATTGATTCTAGTTCTTGAAGAAATGAAATAAAACACATCTGTATTGCTTATTGCTCCAGTTTTGCCAGTTACCGGGAGTTCCTCGCTGCATCCTTTCCCAGCCAACTCGTCATCGGTGAAGTCTGCACCATCTCCCTTGCTGTAGGTTTTACCTGCCTGACCAGAGTCTTGACCACTGGCTGCCACAACAGAACTGGGTGTAACTGGTGAATCTGGATCCGTCGGTTTGCTTGGTGTGCTCATAGATGCAGCCTCTGGACTAACATCAATGTCCATCTTGCCAAGCTGGAAGGACAAATCTAACGTACTCATCTCCAAGTCAGATCTTTCAAGGTCTGGCTCATGCGTACCACTGGAAATGGCACTGCCCGGGGCAGACAGTTCTGCACCATCAGTTCCTTTCACTTTCATCACCATGATGTTACAAAGTTTGCCATAGAAAGTGAAAGCCAAGAGGTTTCCTGGTAAAACTATTTTCCCATCTATGAGAAGATAAAAACAAAACAAAACAAGACTCAGAAAAAGAGATTTCAAGCTACTTTGGCAGCAATAACATTCATAACATTCAGACATTCTTCTATCAGAATAATTCTTTATCAGGAAGCCTAAAGAGGGCTATAAATTAACGTAACAAAAAGGTAGTAAGTTAATTTCAGGTAACTTAAATAATAATTTTGTACACAAGCAGACTCTACCACGTAAACATTTGTCAGTATTTTATGTAATCTCTCATACTAAGCTCATCATTAATTTGAGCTTTTAAAATTTCATGCAGCATACGAAGGGAGATTATGCAATTAGTATTGTAAGAAGTAAAAATTTTCTATTTGCTGTGTGCCTTATAGGTTCACAGCGTTTCATCTTTAGCCCAACTTCTTTGAGAGTTGTGGCCCAAAAAAAAAAAGTAAGGTTTTAGCCTTTGCGTTGCCAGAGAAAGATTAGGAAACGTGATCCAAATGCACCCTACAGGCACAAAAAAAACAAAGGCAAAAATGTAAACAAGATTTATTATTTACAGCCAAATTCATTAATTCAGAACACAGTTCATGTTTCCTGCTTATTAGCATAGCAATACTGTTACTAATTCCTAAGCCAGAGTATTCCCTTTGAGTTGAACTATTTGTAGCAAGTGCTTTGAGTAGCAACACCTTGAATAATTCACCTTGCTTTTTTGCCTTATTTACACATATCTACCACCCAATGAATAGCAATTTTGCTTATTTACCATCAAGCATAAAAAAAGATTCAGAGTATGGGATTTCACAGAATCACAGAATGACTAGGTTGGAAAGGACCTTCAAGATCATCAAGTCCAACCATTAGTCCAGTGCCACCATGTCTCCTAAACCATGTCCTGAAGCGCCACATCCACATTTCATGTTAATACTGATCCGTAATCAAGATATCCCTTATCTTGTTTTTAATGCGTAGTACTGCACTTTTCTTCACAGTGCAAGTAAACTCTGAAGTGCATCACAGTATCAGCCAGAAGGCCAGCAACAGCTGCTGAACAACCATAACTTGAACCGGCAACATGTATAGTGGGCAGAAGGAATGGAACCAGAATTAACGCAAATTAGATATTTATAACATAGCAAAATTATTTAGCCCAAAGAAAACAGATCCCTAAAAGAAGTGTGAGCAGAATAACGTCCTCTGTTTTAGCATAAGCCCTTGATTAAGAACATAAAAGGAAACTGTTTGCTTTTCTATCCAAAAGTTGTTACCTACTACAAAAATTAAACAATCAAAAGAGAAGCAGCACAACTTATACCTAGGTTTCTCAGTAGACAGACAGACATTTCCTCGGCATTAATGGTGGCATCTTTGTCCCTATGGCAGGAAGAAAAAAGAAAATATTTTTCCAAGCTGTAACTACTTAAAGAGTCCGTACCACTAAGGCACCAGGATGATGAATACCACCTATTTTATAGTATGTGATTTAACCCCCCAAAGAGAAAAGATGTATGAGCACTTCACAGTCTTCAGATAGTATCATCTTTACTCTGAAGGTATTAGACACACAGTAACAAAAGAAGTGTACGTATTTAATTTGGGGTTATTTTTTCCATACAAAATGCTGTAATAAGCAATATCATAAGTCATATTTATCATTTCTTAAGATTACAAATCTGGAACGCATGCTTCTTATCTCACTAGGCAGAACAGCCATTGCTACATTTACTGAACTGGAAAAGTTACAGGTAACATAGGTGTGTCAGCCCTGCAAACACACATACACATCTTTTACTGATTAAACTAGCGTCTTGAGCACTTGCAAAACTGTGCATGTCTTAACTACTGCACATCCACTACCAAAAAAGTACAAGTTTTCCCCACAACACATTTTCTACTCTTATTTAATCGAGTTTAAGTGACTCAACAGATAAATCTTAAGCCACTTCCCCCACCAGCCCTGGCCTACAGCATTTTCTCAAACACGGTCTCATCACTGGGGTTTAACGCACAACTGAACACATGCGTTCTTAGCCCAAAGCAAGTGAAAGGTAAAATGTATCTTATGTGAACGTCTTTCTCTGGTGTTCACATTAAGACATTTTACATCACATCTACAACTCACTGAAAGCACAGACATCATTAACGCTCCCTCCTCCTCAGACATGCTGCAATGTATAAGGCTGTGGCGAGTCAATCATTTTTTTCAGTGATGGTTTATCCGTACAATCTTTTTTTGTGTTTCATTTGTGGCTTTACCTTTTATTAAAGCCCAGTAAACAATTTCTTTTTTTTTTTTTAATTCCTTAGGATTTACCCCTCCAGGCCAATCTGATGAAAAGCACTATACCAAGAGCTGAACAGCAGCGGCACCAAAGGCAGATTCAAAGCAGACACAGCTGCTGCAAGTAAGTGTGATCAACAGGGAGAGCTCTAAACCTAGAAATAAAAACCTGTTTCTCCATTCTACTGATCAAGAAAGGGAGTTGAGGGAAAAAAAAAGAGCTCTCAAAATATAACAGCTGTTCCTGAAAAACACATACTCTATTACATTCTCAGAGTCTGTGGTTGGGGACTGACTTTTTAACTGGAAGAAAAAGCTAAATCATGCATGCAAGCAACCTCCACAGAGGTATTAATTTTCAGAGAATGAACTACACCTGGAAAGTGTCTAGATACCTAGGCAGTACCCGAATAATAGGATTTCCATTTATTCCTTTAATAATTTACATTCTGACATGAGAGGATGGCACTATGGTTTGTAGTTAATTAATATGCTTAAAACCAATTACAGTTTTCATGTTTTCTCTCCTACAGTAATTCTAGAAAAACAGTCATTTATGAGTCTTTTAATCTGGTGGTACATATGTATAACCACCCTCAGAGCCCGACTCTGGCTGAGAGGGAAAGCTCTGGCTGTGGAAAAGTTTCAAAAAAAAAAAAAATCACGGTAATCATAAATATTTCAGAAGTTACATGCAATTCCTCCAACCTCATCCTTAGTTTGTATTTCAGTAGAAGTTACAGCTTTAAAGAAAGAATACATTGCATATTAATACAGGGAAATAGAAACAGATTAGGTTTATTTCATGTGGGGTTGGTTTTTTAATGAAATGAGTGTTTTCAACCATCTCCATAGCTCAACAGTATGTAATAATAGTAACGCTTCCTATAGGATTAAATTAGCTGAACAATACAATTTTTTTCATTTTCTGGTGAGAAGAGAGGCATGGAGGTCAAAGAAAGCTGGGGCCAGGAAGTCAACTTGGCTGCACATTGTATGCTAACCAGCAAAAAATATAATGGTAAACTGGCTATATTGCTGATAAAAAGCAAGATTGCCTCACCAATGTTTCTGAGAGTTGGTATGCTGGAAAACAGCATCTACCCCTTAAAATGGACAATGACAACGCCATGTTTGAAAACAGAGGTTTGACAGGGAAGTGATGTTAATTTATTGAAATTGAAGTGTCAGGACACTTTCAAAAGCAACTGTAAAATAACTTTAGGAAATTACCATAATCAGATTCTGCATCAACCCAAATGCTGACTCTCTGGAATGTTATGACAATGACAAATACAGGAAGTCATTCAGCAGATCAATAAACTACTAATTTCTCAGAGCATTCATGATTTCAAGACAACTGTGATTTGTACCCTTTGCTCCCTTTTTTGGGTGAATTTCAATTAAAAAACAAAAACATACCCCAGAGTTTCCAATTGTAAAAAATATTCCAGTAAATAAAAGCAGAGCACAAAACCACACATATACAAAGGTGAAGTTTTGAAGGGAAGTGGTTAAAAAAAAAAATTCACTTCACTCTCCTCAACCTGTCAGCCAGTAGTTCTCTTAACCGCAGCAGGACTTCTCAGGAGTTTGCAGCATATTTCTTAAGAGCAGCAACACGGGCTTCTTCTAACCTGACATCAGCTCTGTGCACAGAGATCATCCTCATTCTTTACAAGTGACTTATAAGTTAAGGAATCTGCCTTGATCATGCAGCTATACACCCCTGTCTACTGCAAATGCAACACAGGCAGCTTGACCTCTGCTTCAGGAGATGCTGGGCTATCATTACTCTTCATTAATTTAATGTAAAATGAAGAATCTCATAAGACTAATGAGCTTAGTATATTCTCCACAACAGCACCACTCAGTTGAGATTTTGTTCAACAAGTTGAGCCACCCCACCACCCACAGAGGAGGTAGCAGTTAGCCACCGGTTACTAAACTTTAGTCTTAATACTAGGAACATCTGCACATCTTTGACTTCGTCTAGGTACTAATTCCATCAAAGCAAGAAAGAAAAATAGCACCTTCTAAGATGTAAGAGTCTGCAGTGCAAAGCAGACACCTCACAGTACATCACTAGGTTATAACAAGTTGCATACCTCAACTTTACATCGACTTCCTCTGCCTGGATGACTGCACCAGTCACAGGCTGCACAGTGACAGCATCACCTGGATTTACTTTCAGGTTCTTCTGCGTGGTTTCACTCAGCCCAACTTTGCCACCTGGAAAGCCTGTGGTGGGCCAAGCAGTACAGACCTGGGAAGAGTTTCAAAGCAAGCAACTGTCAGAGATTTCCCCCACATACCATTTCCAGTCTTCCACTTAAAGCAAGCAATGTTTTGTTACAAAAAGCATGGGCCGAGAGGGAAGGATGAGGGTAAAACCTGGTGCCACAGAGTAAGATACAAGTAGCACTGCATTCTTAAGGTATCATCCAAGGCACTTTTCAAGAAGGAAGGGGTTCTATTTTGCCTACAAAGGAGGTAAAAAAATTTCACCAAGACTTGACACATTTTGCAGATGACACAAAAGCATACACTGTGCTGACTAGGAAATATGACAAATCAATGAAGAAAGAAAAGTGAAGGCTATACTCTTTCTTTGCAAATAAAATACATGTGTCGTATATTATATATGCACACGCATGACTTATAAATTCCTTGAAAAAAATCAGCAGCATAGATTTTTTTTTTTTTTTTGCCAGTACTGAGAATAAAGATGTAACTACAGTGTAGAAAACATGGAAAAGCACATTCATTATCTTTCCCAATGCATGCTCCACTTCGGTCCCTATTGAACACACCAGGGACACACGGAAAGCACGAGAAAAGCACTTGCAGGAAGAAGAGCCTCACCTCCTGTCGCCCACCCGCAGAGGTAAGCAAGACTGGACGACCGATGCATACGTTTGCAGACTTCATGCTGCTCAGCGACAGCTGGGCCAGGGCTCTTCGCAACATTTTCGGAACTTTGTCATCTTCTAACGTTTTCAGGAGGAAAAAAAAAAAAAGAAGCATCATTTTTTCCTACTTATCGGACGAATTCAGTATTTCTCACGCTCCCGCACCAGCACAACTGACAAAAGCCTTCCAGTCCCTCACGAGGGGCAGCGCCCAGCCGTGAGGGAAGCGCGGGGACATAACGGGACAACGTTTCTGACAGGCCTGAAAACACCCCTGCTTACACGCTGCTGCTTGCTGGATTTTCCACCCGGTTTTAGCTACCGGCGGGACCCTTCTGCGCCGTCCATCACGCTCCGACACCGTAATAAAAAAAAGCAAATTTCACGAGGTCTCAACCGACCTCGCCCGAGAGACAGCCCCCCGCACGCCGGTCCCGCGGGGCCCGTCTCCGCGAAGGGACGGGGCGGCAGCC